GTCAATTTGTGAGATAATTACAAAAGTTATTTAGGAAAATGATAAAGAAATTAAATACTTACAATCTGAAATAAAAATGGTCCTTCTACAATGTCAGACTCAGGTGCAATATCCCTAAAGCAAGCAAAAATTAGTCCTTCGAACATATAAATGCAATTTTGAGGGTCAATTTGTGAGATAATCACAAAAGTGATTTAGGAAAATGATAATGAAATTTAATACTTACAATCTGATGCAAGAATGGTCCTTCTACGATGTCAGACTCAGGTGAAAAATCCCTAAAACAAGCGCAAAAATTAGTCCTTCGAACATATAAATGCAATTTTGGGGGTCAATTTGTGAGATAATCACAAACATTATTTAGGAAAATGATAATGAAATTAAATACTTCAATACTCTTGGTAGACCTCGATGTTGGCAGAAACTCAATTTGTATGTACTATTACTATTGTTATTACTACTACCACCATTACTTATAAATACTACTAGTACTACCTATATTTAGTACAAGTCCTACTTAAGTCCCACATAGATAACACCAGACATTATGGACAATACATGAACAATACCAATACTATTTATCTACTAACTAAAACTATTTACCAAGTCATACGCGGATAACACCAGATCTTTGTGTATACTTGAACATACTAAGACAACAATAATATATTTCTACATATTCACAGACTTCTGAAGTTCTGCACGATTACTTGCAGCCATATTTACAGCACAAGGACAACATCTATACTGCTTATCTACAAACTAAAACATGTTCCTAAGTTCTATACGGATTACACTAGTAACATGGACATCAAACATTCACCTTTGCCATAAGAACAGCACAATATAACTAAATATTAAAAATAATTTCAAAATTTTACACGGACAACATGAAGAACACGTAAAATTAATACTAGTTTACTACGCATAATTGAAAATATAATACGATACGATTCAAAAGCAACGTTCCACTCACACGTGTGTACACATGTTCAAATGCTTCAAAGT